GTTGACTGCAAAGTTTCTCATATTTCTCATTCCGTTCAGTAAGTTCGGCATTAGCTTTCTCCAATTGTTGCAATTTATTTAATCGGAAAGAGCCAATGCTGTTGCGTGGGGTTACTTCATAAGGTACTCGATCGGAAACAGGGTGACTCATGTCGATTTCGCTATAGAGGTGTTTATCTTAGACACACACCACATAAGCACGACATTACCGACCCAACACAAATTCCGTACTTTACTTTTGGAAGCAACTCTGTGTTGTAAGGTGTAAAAAAAATACAGCTCCACAACCACTATTTTGAAAGAAGCGACCAGCTGATGTTGTAAATTTGATAAACAAATATTCAGCTGACTCCAATATTATTTGTCTCTTTCAAGTTAAATTTTGTTTGTTTTGCCAATAAAACAATTTATTGGAAATTTTAAAACTTTGATTTGCGAAACACTCACCGTCGACGATGACTAAACGTGGGTGAAATTGTGTTCCTGAGGAATTACTGCTCCAATACAACAACAATCCGCCAACTATAAATCGCTCTGAACGGTGAAAATTTGAAGATTTGTTGCAGCAACGATTAACACGTCCGTCTGGTAAGCAATGTTAGACCATGCTATATCCTCCAATATCAGAACGTAGACCTCGTGGAAAATGTTAGGCAGATCTGGGTGAAATTTGGGAAATTAAATATATCGTTGGGACAATAATTGAGAACACATATTTTCTAAAACCCTTAATTTTATGCGATCCCAAAATTTGTAATAATAAATAATTGCCTTGTTGCAGAACTTTTGAACTTTTGAACAAATGAATAACAATTGTTCCATAACTGGAGAGTACGTTCAAAAATTAAGGAAATATTGAAGATTGAAAAAAAAGGAAAACAAAAGACTAGGTGAATCAATCAAGCGATGAATAAAAATTCTTCTTTGAAATCGGAGAGGAAATAACATGGAATTTCTTCCTCATGCTTAAATTCTTGATAAAAAAAACTGCATATCTGATTTTGAGTTTTTATTAGGGATATTTAATTGAATCCAAAAATGATTGCCTGGAAGACAAAAGAAATGGAAACCGTTTTAAAAACCATTCAGTCAGTTCGCCAGCCAGCATCTGGCAGGTGTAGATAATTCCACAGACAATGGAAATCCATCTCCCACCCACGCAGACATCAAAGGATGAGCAGCACAACGGCACATTCATCATCATCGACGTCGCCGATATCGTTATCCCCATTATCATTGTGCGGATTAAAAAAAATATAATTTAATTACGGCAATACCTCTTTAGAAACTTTGCTTTGTGATTTCTGATGCATATTTTCTGGTGACTGATTTATTTGCATTTTTTTTCGTTTGTTTGTTTTACTCGCTCTGCCCTCTCCGCTGCTTCTGCCACTGCAGAGAAGCCAGAAGTTCAAGTTCAATAAACAAATAATTATTAAAACAATCTGCTGGATAAATACTTTGGCATTAAAAGGTGTAAAAAGCTAATAGGATTACACAGTGTGACGGAAATCTTGTCAAATCGATTTTATTAATTGAATTTAGATACGAATTACGAGTTACGATTACGAATTACGAAATACAAATGAGAATATTCACAAAACGCATAGGAAAGCCTATAACAGAGCTTTTAAGGGAACAAAGCCTTTCTAATGACAATGATCCAGAAGACAAGTTTTATCTAAATAAGACCAATTAGAAGCTTTCCAACTAGATGAGAATTTTAAACACATTTTGTGTAGGTATCTCATCTAATCGGAACGAAATGGTTTAAAAATTTCTTTGGTCAATAGAAAAAAAGTTCTTTATATAATTTATATATAGTGAAAAGTCCTTGATCCAGAGAACATCTTTAGAGGTATTCCATTAATAAGGTTTTCGAAATGTTCTTCGGTTTATAAAAGGCTTTAAGAAGATTTTTTTCTTTTTTTTAAGCGCTCTAGAACACCTGTTGGTCTTTTATCGAATATAGAAAACTTGGAGGTCTTCTATCGGCTATAGAAGACCAGGAGGTCTTCGGTCAAATTTTAAAGAAATCTTGAGGTCTTCTGTGTGCTATTAACGTTCTTGAGGTCCCTCTGATATAGAAGACATTGAGAGCTTCTATCAGACCTGGTGGTCTTCTATAGCCTATAGAAGACCTCCTGGCATCGGCTAAAGAAGATCGGGAGGACTTCTATCCGCTGAAAAAGATCAGGATTCTGAATAGCAGGTATTCTACCGGCTTGAGAATATTAGAGGTCCTCCATCGCCCAAAAAGAACGGGAGCTATTCTGTCGCCTGCAAAATAAACCACAGGTCGTCTACATCATAAACCACAGGTCTTCTTTAGTAACACTACTTTGCATAGGAGAGCTACAGGAGCACTCCTGTCAATAGAAAAACTTCTGACCATAAAAGAGCTACAGGAGCTCTTCTGTCCATAGAAGAGCTACAGGAGCTCTTCTGTCCATAGAAAGGCTACAGGAGCTCTTCTGTCCATAGAAGAGCTACAGAAGCTCTTCTGTCCATAGAAGAGCTACAGGAGCTCTTCTGTCCATAGAAGAGCTACAGAAGCTCTTCTGTCCATAGAAGAGCTACAGGAGCTCTTCTGTCCATAGAAGAGCTACAGGAGCTCTTCTGTCCATAGAAGAGCTACAGAAGCTCTTCTGTCCATAGAAGAGCTACAGGAGCTCCTCTGTCCATAGAAGAGGTGCAGGAGCTCTTCTGTCCATAGAAGAGCTACAGGAGCTCTTTTGTCCATAGAAGAGCTACAGGAGCTCTTTTGTCCATAGAAGAGCTACAGGAGCTCTTCTGTCCATAGAAGAGCTACAGGAGCTCTTTTGTCCATAGAAGAGCTACAGGAGCTCTTCTGTCCATAGAAGAGCTACAGGAGCTCTTTTGTCCATAGAAGAGCTACAGGAGCTCTTCTGTCCATAGAAGAGCTACAGAAGCTCCTCTGTCCATAGAAGAGGTACAGGAGCTCTTCTGTCCATAGAAGAGCTACAGGAGCTCTTTTGTCCATAGAAGAGCTACAGGAGCTCTTCTGTCCATAGAAGAGCTACAGGAGCTCTTCTGTCCATAGAAGAGCTACAGGAGCTCTTCTGTCCATAGAAGAGCTACAGGAGCTCTTCTGTCCATAAAAGAGCTACAGGAGCTCTTCTGTCCATAAAAGAGCTACAGGAGCTCTTCTGTCCATAGAAGAGCTACAGGAGCTCTTCTGTCCATAGAAGAGCTACAGGAGCTCTTCTGTCCATATAAGAGCTACAGGAGCTCTTCTGTCCATAGAAGAGCTACAGGAGCTCTTCTGTCCATAGAAGAGCTACAGGAGCTCTTCTGTCCATAGAAGAGCTACAGGAGCTCTTCTGTCCATAGAAGAGCTACAGGAGCTCTTCTGTCCATAGAAGAGCTACAGGAGCTCTTCTGTCCATAGAAGAGCTACAGGAGTTCTTCTCTCCATAGAAGAGCTACAGGAGTTCTTCTCTCCATAGAAGAGCTACAGGAGTTCTTCTCTCCATAGAAGAGCTACAGGAGTTCTTCTTTCCATAGAAGTGCTACAGGAGTTCTTCTCTCCATAGAAGAGCTACAGGAGTTCTTCTCTCCATAGAAGAGCTACAGGAGTTCTTCTCTCCATAGAAGAGCTACAGGATTTCTTCTCTCCATAGAAGAGCTACAGGAGTTATTCTCTCCATAGAAGAGCTACAGGAGTTCTTCTGTCCATAGAAGAGCTACAGGAGCTCTTCTGTCCATTGAAGAGCTACAGGAGCTCTTCTGTCCATTGAAGAGCTACAGGAGCTATTCTGTCCATTGAAGAGCTACTGGAGCTATTCTGTCCATTGAAGAGCTACAGGAACTCTTCTGTCTATAGAAGAGCTACAGGAGGTCTTCTGTCCATAGAAGAGCTACAGGAGCCCTTCTGTCTATAGAAGAGCTACAGGAGCCCTTCTGTCCATAGAAGAGCTACAGGAGCCCTTCTGTCCATAGAAGAGCTACAGGAGCCCTTCTGTCCATAGAAGAGCTACAGGAGCCCTTCTGTCCATAGAATAGCTACAGGAGCTCTTCTGTCTATAGAAGAGCTGCACATCCAACCGAATTCAGTCTTAAAACAAATACATCAAATGTGGTGAAAATTGCTTCAGATATAGCTATAGCTCCCATATATATGTTTCATCCGATTTGGGGTTTTAAGTCCCTCACATGCGTAATATGCATTCGACAACAATGATATTTGGTACCAGATATCTTATTGAGCTCGGAAATACCTTTGCTAAATATTATGGAGATGGGCTATGATTTCGATATAGCTTCCATATATATCCTTAATCCGAATGGAATGAATTTCGGGGGATACGTTCCCATTTTGTGGAACTCGGCTCCGATATATATTTCTTATTATAATCCTTCTCGAAGTGATATCATACATTCTATATCATTGCTATTTGGTATAAGAGGTTAAAATTTAGAGAAAATCGATTCAGAATTGGATACGCCCCCCCCCCCCCCCCTCCTCTATTAGTTCCTTCTGAACTAATATATAACTGCTCTAAAGCCAAATGTTGTATGATCTACTACAAATACATTCTTTTGTTACGGGAGCTCTACTAAATATGCATAGTGGTGTAGGGTATCATATAGTCGGCCACGCCCGACTTTTGAGTTTCCTAACTGGTTTCTTCATGGATTTAAAGAGAAAGAAGTCGCGGTCTGCGAAAGTATTAATCGTGGATTTTTTAAGAATAATTTTTCAAGAACTAATCTTAAGGTTTTTTAAAAACCAATCGAGTATTTTGAAAGATATATTTTGCAACATCTTCAAAAAATAAGTTTTAGTGATAAACCTTTAAAGTATATTTCTTTATTTTAAAGTCTTCCTTTTTACGAAGTCCTCTCCAAGGTTATGACTTTTTATCTCAATTTATGCAAATCGTATTCCAGGATAATGATTCTTAATATTTACCATCCCTCCACTGGCCCCAATACAAACCCCTCATAATCTAGCCATAAGTAAAACACCACTTCCATCTCTCGAGGTTCTCCATTGATTTTTTTTAATATTTATTTTACGTTTCCATCCATCCAATTGTTGCTAATTTGATTTGCTTTACTTGTTTTGTTTTTGTATTTCACCGAACCGTATCCCCATCGAAGGAATATTGACTTAATTTTATTCCACCAATTCAATGATATTTTGTTTTTGTGTGTAAATGTTATTGCAGCGCTTTGTTGTTATTGTTTGTTTTCCACAGATTTTCCCCCACCAAGCATATGCTCGATCCGCCTCCTTCGTTTCCATTTGCTGCCTCCCCCTCAATAACCAAGAAAATTAAAGCCGCATAACAATTTATCTGGTCGTCGCATTCGCAGGATACCAAACTGAAAGACGGACATATCGTCGGCCACATTCATATCCAAGGCCATTAATTTCTCAGCGGCGAGGGGATGCCAGGAGCCAAATGTGCAGGCCGAATTAATCTATGAAATTGAGAAGAAGAAGCAAAAAAAAGAAGGAAAACGAAAAATAAAAACGTTATTCCAATGAAATTGTGTTTTAATGTGTTGCGAGTTTCGATTTGCGATTTTGGTTTTTGATGTTGGTTGAGGTCATAAGTTTAAATTTTTGGCCAAGTCAATAACGGAAAATATATTTTTAACTTGGAAGGATAATGTGTTTTTGTTGCTGTCTTTTGAAGTGTTAATTGAACCCACCTCCTTGCTGTAGTAATGGCATCGTCCATTTAGACGTGTCGATGGCATATATTCGATGAAATCCACCACTGGACAATGAGGTAGTAGAAGGGCCAAACCTGTGAGGAAGAGAGAAAGAGAGAGATAAAATTGGTAAAAGATTTGTTGTTTTGCCAGTTTTTGGTGATGAGGCGGCTACAACATAAATTTCTGCGAAACAATTTCCAAATTGATAATTAACTTAAGTGTTGGGCTGGTTGGTATTGAAAAACGATCTGTGGAGATAGTTGCTTATAGATTAGGACGTGATTTATGTTCGACATTTGGGATTACAAGGAGAGGGGGCTTTAACAAAGAGAAAACAAAAAAGGTTGAATTTAAGATCAGTGATGCCATATTTCTCCATGGGGAGAGTAGATTGAATCATTAGAAGAAGAGAAGAAGAGCTACAGGAGCTCATCTGTCCAGAGAAGAGCTTCAGGATCTCGTCTTTCCATAGAAGAGCTTCAGGAGCTCATCTGTCCATGGAAGAGTTTCAGGAGCTCTTCTGTCAATAGAAGAGCTACAGCTTCAGGAGCTCTTCTGTCCATCGAACAGCTTCAGGAGCTCTTCTGTCCATGGAAGAGCTTCAGGAGCTCTTCTGTCCATGGAAGAGCTTCAGGAGCTCTTCTGTCCATAGAAGAGCTTTAGGAGCTCTTCTGTCCATAGAAGAGCTTCAGGAGCTCTTCTGTCCATAGAAGAGCTTCAGGAGCTCTTCTGTCCATAGAAGAGCTTCAGGAGCTCTTTGTCCATAGGAGAGCTCAGGAGCTCTTCTGTCCATAGAAGAGCTTCAGCTCACCCAGAGCTCGATTAGAGTTTTACTATATCTCAACTAGAGAAGGACTAAAGCTCGAGTAGAGCTTGACAAGAGATCGACAAGAGCTCAACTAGGTTACAATTGGAGTTCAGCTTCTGTCAATAGAAGAGCTACAGCTTCAGCAGCTCTTCTGTCCATCGAACAGCTTCAGGAGCTCTTTTATCCATCGAACAGCTTCAGAAGCTCTTCTGTCCATCGAACAGCTTCAGGAGCTCTTCTGTCCATAGAAGAGCTTCAGAAACCCTTCTGTCCACAGATGAGCTTCAGAAGCCCTTCTGTCCACAGATGAGCTTCAGGTGCTCTTCCGTCCATAGGAGATCTTCAGGAGCTTATATGTCAATAGAAGAGCTTCAGGAGCTTTTCTGTCTATAGAAGAGCTTCAGGAGCTTTTCTGTCTATAGAAGAGCTTCAGGAGCTCTTCTGTCCATAGAAGAGCTTCAGCTCACCCAGAGCTCGATTAGAGTTTTACTATATCTCAACTAGAGAAGGACTAAAGCTCGAGTAGAGCTTGACCAGAGATCGACAAGAGCTCAACTAGGTTACAATTGGAGTTCAGCTAGAGCTGACCAAGAGCTCACTAATAAATCACCTAGATATCAACAAGAGCTCAACCCAGAGCTCAACCAAGACCTCAATTAGAGCTAGCTAACTAGAACTAAACCAGAGAACACCAAAAAACTTAACTACACCGACAGCTTAGCTAGGCCTCATCTGGAGCTCGGTAAAAACTCGTCTAGACCTTGCCTGGAACTCGTTTAGACCTCACTTGGAGCTCATCTGCAGTTTACCTGGAGCTCATTCTACTAATGTAGGATTCACCAGCTAATATACATATTCCACCTTTATTTAAGAAAAAAATGAAATAGAGATATTTTAGTTGCAAAGACCCCACTTCAATATGTTGAGCCCAGATTCTCCACCTGTCTCAATTCTCTCTTCCCACCCTCACTCACCTATAAATCCCGAACTGGGTGGATTTTTCCTCAACGGCCTGTTGCCGGCAAACATTTGCAAACTTTGCCACAGACGCCAAATCGAATGCGGATCGATGAGAAAGGCACGTGATTTCGGATAACGACGCCTATAGATTTCATAATTGGTGAATAAGTCATAATCCGATGTGGTCAGCCAATCTTCCAGGGTGCCATTATATTTGCCGGGATCCCAAGCGGCGATGGTGACATTTTGAAAAATGGGTGCATGGGCGAAATCGAATTCAGGCTTTGTGACAACCTAAAAGGAAGTGAAAAATAAATCTTGTTTTACTTGAATGCACGGTATCTGGCGATGACTTGTGGTGGGTGGGTGGATGAATGGGTGGGTTGGTCGGCCGGTAGGCTGGGCATGTTGATGGCAAACCAGCAATGCGGTTGTTTATTTACCGCAATATTGTTGTTCATCATCATTCGTTCATTCGACGGATGGCAGAAAATAATATTCATCACCAGAGTGACGGACGGTGACGACGATACGCAGTGAATACACAAAGGAAATAAATCGAGCGTGCACTTCAACATCAGATATCGAAACGAAAAATAATAATAACAACAAGAATAATAACAAAAACATCAAAAATCATAAAGATATTTATTTGCGTATACAACAGGCGTTTTTTCCTCCTACCTTCATATTTGTGTACCGTTCAGCTTCATACATTCGCCAAGCCAACTTCGCCATGACTACACCACCCCCCCAACAATCCACCCATCCATTACCGTGCAAATAATTCCCATTGCGCCCGTTCCGAGCATTTCGTGGAATACTTACTTGCGAATTCACCACACGTATTGTCGTTTTACTGCCCACATCGACTTCGAATCCCCGCGTCGGAGCGTGATTAAATCTCATTACGATGTCATGACTATCTAAATAATGAAATTAGAGTAAAATTTCCATTATTAAAGTATTTATTTCTCCTCTCGTATCGCTCTGGGCATCTTTTTCACCGAAAGGAAAACAACAACAACAACAACAACAACCTCAAGGATATTTTATTCGAAATAAAACGACAAAAACCAGACGTGAATATTTTAATATTTTGTTTAGCTTCTGAAGAACAGAAAAAAAATTATGGCAATGCTTTCGAAATTTATGACAGGAAGTTAGGATAGTCAGGGGAAAAAAGTTAAAAAAAGAGGCCACAATACTTTAAATTGTTAAAAACAATTATTCAACTACAGCTCATCGAGAACAAAACTAGAGATCAGCGAGAGCTTACGCAGAGCTCAATTAAAACTCATCGAGTATTTACCTAGACCTCGTCGTGAGATCAGCTAAAGCTCCAAAAAAGTTCAACTATAGCTCATTTTCAGCACGACTAGAACTCAACTAGAGCCCATTTTCAGCTCAAGCAGAGCTCAACTAAAGCTTAAATAGAGCTCAACTAAAGCTTAAATAGAGCTCGACTAGAGCTCAACTAAAGCTCAAGTAGAGCTCAACTTAAGCTCAACTAGGGCTCAGTTAGAGCTCAACTAAAGCTTCAATAGAGCTCATCTAAAGCTTAAATAGAGCTCGACTAGAACTCAACTAAAGCTCAAGTAGAGCTCAACTTAAGCTCGAATAGAGTTCGACCAGAGCTCATGTAGAGCTCAACCTAAACTCAAATTAAGCTTAAATAGAGTTCAAGTAGAACTCGACTGGAGCTCAACTTAATAGAATTGAACTCAACTAAAGCTGCAACAGAGCTCCACTAGAGCGCAACTAGGATTTGAAATCAACCAAGACTAGACCAGAGCTCAGCTAGAGCTTGCCTAGATCAATTTGAGTTTGAGTAGAGATATAGTCGATCTTCAACTAGAACTCAACTAGAACTCGAATAGAACACAACAAGAGTTTAACAAGTCTTCAACAAAAGCTCAAGTAAAGCTCGGGTACAGCTTGACTAGAGCTTAACTAGAGCTCAACCAGAGCTCAACTAGAGCCCAACTTCAGCTCAACCAGAGCTCAACTAGGGTCCAACTGGCTAGAGCTCAACTATTTGTAATGTAGAGCTCAACTAAAGCTCAAGTAGAGCGTGACTAGAACTCGACTTGACCTCAAATAAAGCTCGAGTAGAGCTCAACTAAAGCTAAAGTAGAGATCGACTCGAGCTTAACTAAAGCTCAAATAAAGCTTGACTAGAGCTCAACTATAGGTCATATGGAGCTCGACTAGAGCTCAACCAGAGCTCAACTAGAACTCGACTCGAAATCAACTAGAGCTCGACTAAAACTCAACCACAACTCGACCAGAGATCGTCAGGTGCAATTTGATTTTGAGTAGAGATCAACTAGACTTCAACTAGAACTCGACGGCAGCTCAACAAGAGGTCACAAAAAGCTCAAATAAAGCCCGACAAGAGCTCAATCAGAACTCAACCAGAGCTCTCCTACAGCAACTTAAGTTTGAGTAGAGATAGCCAAGACTCCAAATAGAGCTAAACCATAGCTCGACTAGAACTCCAATAGAGCTCGACCAAAGCTCTACTTTAGGTCAACTTGAGATGACTAGAGCTCGACCAGAGCTTAAGTGATTTTATGTAGAGCTCACGAAGAATTTGTCTGACCAAGAGTTCACTAACAAACCACCTAGATTTCAACAAGAGCTCAACTAAGAGCTCACCAAAACCACAATTAGAGCTTAACTAGAACTCAATCAGAGCTCAACAAGAACTTAACTACACCAACAGCTCAGCTAGAGCTTACCGACAGCTTAAGTAGGGCTAATCTAGAGCTCACCTGGAACTCTTCTAAACCTTGCCAGAAGCTCATTTAGACTCCATCTGGAGCTCGACTCGAGTTCAACTAGAGCTCGACTAAAACTCAACCACAACTCGTCCAGAGATCGTCAGGTGCAATTTGACTTTGAGTAGAGATCAACTAGACTTCAACTAGAACTCGACGGTAACTCAACTAGTACTCGACTAGAGCTCAGCAAGAGGTCGCTAAGAGCTCATATAGAGCCCGGCAAGAGCACAACCAGAACTCAACCAGAGCTCGCCTACAGCAACTTGAGTTTGAGTAGAAATAGGCTAGATTTCAACTAGAGCTAAACCTTAGCTCGACTAGAACTCCAAAAAAGCTCGACCAGAGCTCTACTTCAGGTCAACTTAATTTTGACTAGAGCTCGATCAGAGCTTAACTGATTTTACGTAGAGCTCACTAAGAGTTTGTCTATAACAAGACTAAAGCTACCCCTAAGCTCACCCAGAGCTCGATTAGAATTTTACTATAGCTCAACTAGAGATGAAGAAAAGCTCAATTAGAACTAGAGTAGAGATCGACAATAGTTCAACTAGATTACAATAGGAGTTCAGCTAGAGCTGACCAAGAGTTCACTAACAAACCACCTAGTTTTCAACAAGAGCTCAACCAAGAGCTCACCAAAACCATAATTAGAGCTTAACTAGAACTCAACCAGAGTTTACCAAGAACTTAACTACACCGACAACTCAGCTAGAGCTTAACGACAGCTTAGGTAGGCCAAATCTAGAGCTCACCTGGAACTCTTCTAAACCTTGCCTGGAGCTCATTTAGACTACATCTGGAGCTGACCAAGAGTTCACAAACAAATCACCTAGATTTCAAGAAGAGCTCACCAAAACCACAATTAGAGCTTAACTAGAACTCAATCAGAGATCACCAAGAACTTAACTACACCGACAGCTCAGCTAGAGCTTAACGACAGCTTAGGTATGCCAAATCTAGAGCTCACCTGGAACTCTTCTAAACCTTGCCTGCAACACATTTAGACCTCATCTGGAGCTAATCTAGAGTCTATCTGAAATTCATCCTACTAATGTAGGGTTTACAAGCTCACTTGAGGATCACCATTTCACTTAAGGCTCCAGTTCAAGTAAAGTCTTCCTTCCCTCTCTCGGCTTGCTATTTCACATAAGATTATTTATGGGTAACCATTTCAATTGACGTTCACCACTTCAGATAAGGTTCAAAATTCACCAGTTTGCCCAGGACTCTCCAGTTCAACTTCGTTTCTCTAGCTCACTGGGTTCACCAGCTGACCTGGTTTCCTAGTTCAATCCTTCAAGACATCTAAAAGACTATCTTATGGACGTCTATTAACACTTATTCCTAGTCGTCAGTAAAGATCCTTTCCTAATCGTCAGCCAAGTTTAGTTGCCTATAAAATATACTTTGGTTCGGGCTTGAAGACTTCCTATTGAACGTCTATAAAGATTCATTCATAGCCGTCTATAAAGACTCCGGCTTCATGGAAAAAATGAGCGATTTTCTCATCGTTGACTTCAGAGACCTTCTCACCTACCAAAACTTTTCAGTAGTCGATTTTCCACTGTCTCGATCAAAGACCTCTTCATGCTTACCTATACAGCCCTTATGAAGATTTCATCCATTTCCCTTCAAAACGTCACTAAAATTTCCTTTAATAAAAAAAGTCCTTGATATTCTGTACTCACCAATAAATCTGCCCAACTTCGAACCGGCCATCGATCCGGCACTCGACACAATGGCACACGTCTTAATGTTCTTCTTCTGTCGAAACAATTTCTGCTTGGGAAACAATTTTCCAAACTGCAACTTATTAAACGGCGGATCTTTGCGCTTTAGAACCCTTACACCAGCCTCCATAACCAGACACGTCGAGGGATAGTATTGCTCCTCAAAACTATCCCCGAAGACAGGTTTAAAATCTACATTATAGAAATTCGATTCGTTGACCGACTCCATTAATGACTTTTCGAAGATTTTCAAAACTCGCTCCTTGAAGGCCTGCGTTTTATTCGCACACACCGGCGATAGTTTGTCGTGGCAGAGATAATGTTTGGCATTTAAATTCAGTTTTGTCGTCTTGGACACCTTCAAGCGGGGATGAGGTGCAAGTTTGGAAGAATTGATGGCTGGATTTTCATTCGATTCGACGATGAAACGTTCATTGGGATTCCAGCGTACGTGAAAGACGCTGCGTCGTTTGCGGGAACCTGTGAAGGGAAAGAGACAGGGGGAGAGAGAGGTAGGCTTTAAAATTACCTTTCTAGAAAATTAAGAAATCTCTCCAAAGTCTATAAGGACGATATCCATGTCATCTGATGGTCTATAAAAAATACCCCGTTAACCATCCATTAATACTACGGTCTATGCATAGACTCCTTTTTGGGACTCCTTGAAGCTGTCCTAGGTACTTATGAGACTACAAAGACTCATTCTAAGTAAGTATAAAAACTCTCGGCTGGGTTTCGTCTACCTAACTTCTTCTTGAGGCTCACCAATCCTCTCACATGGGAGTCTGTAAAACCTTATTCCCGAAAGTTTGTACTCTGAAAAGGGAAGGATTGTAAATTGTTTCCCAGGAGAGAGTTTTCACAGAGGGTCTTCGTAGGCACCATTCATAAATATCCAGGAAACGATCTGAAGAAAGTCTTAATAGATTCATATAGTACAGTCTAATATTCTCTGAATATGAATCTATTAACACTTTCTTCAGATCGTTTCCTAGATATTTATGAATGGTGCCTACGAAGACCCTCTGTGAAAACTCTCTCCTGGGAAAAAGTTTATAAACCTTCCCTCTTCAGAGTATATGAAGATCTTCGAAGAGTACCCCGGGGGGAAGAAAGAATCTCCAAGAACTTGCACCTGGACTTTCTGTTCTGAAATTCTATAAACTATTCCATGAGGTACTCACAAGATTATTATTTAGAGACATTATAATGTAGGTCTACAACAACTCCTTCCTGGTACTCATTTAACACTGGGTGGACCTTAAAGTGGCTCCCTGCCTGAATCTTTAGAGTAATCATAAATTTCAGGAACTTATTTTTATTACAGTTTTTAAAAAGAATGGGTCGACCAAAAACAAGTATCTGAAGGCTCCCAGAAGTGATCCTCTATACTCTTTCCTAGAATCGTAAAAAAAAGTTTCCACAGACTCAACATAGAAAAAGGGCGGTCCAAAGGGCTCCCTAAAGGTATTCGCCGTAAACTTCTAAAAAAGATAGCAACCATTGACTTCCAGAAGAGTCTCTCTATAGACTTCCAAAAGGGGATTCTTCATAGACTTTCAAACTAGAGTCTCCATGACACTAAAAAAGGAGTCTCGAAAGCCTTCCAAAGGGGAGTGTCTATAGATTTTCAAAATAGACTTTAAAGGGTGTTTCCAAAGGACAAAGGGTGTCTGCAAATACATTCACAAAGGAGGTTTTATAGTCCCGAAGGGACTACCCAAAAGGAAGTCTCCCAAGTCTTCTGAAAGAAAGTCTCCAAACTACCCAAAAAGAGAATCTCTAAAGTCTCCCAAAAGGAAGGCATTAAAGACTCTCAAAGAGAGTCTCCAATGACTTCAAAAAAGCGAGTCTCCAAAGACTTCAAAAAGATTGTCTGCAATTGACTTCCGAAAGGGACGGTTCAAAGACTCCCAAAAATGAGTCCCCGGAACAGAGTTTCTTTAGTTCTAAAAAGTTAATCTGTATAGACTTCACAAGGGGGAGTTTTCATGGACTCTCAAAAAGAATCTTCATGTACTCCCAAATCGTAGCCTTCAAAAAGGATCCCCCATAGACTCCCAAATATAAATCTCCACGAATTTCCGAAAAATATAGTCTCATATTGAATCTCCATAGCCTCCCAAAAGAAATTCTCCATAAATTCCCCAAGTAGAATTTCCATAGACTCCAAAAGAGATCCCTCACAGACTTCCTTCAGGGAATCTCTGTAGATTCCCGAAAATGAGTCTCCATAGATTTCGAAAGAAAAATCCCAATGTGGACTAACTTTTAATAGCCTTAGAAGGTTTTCGCTTGAAACCGTAAAGACCCCTCTTCTAATGGTGCGTCTTCTTGGTCTCCCACAAGGGATACTCCAAAGACTCCCAAAGAGAGTTTTCATAGACTTCCAAAAGGAAATCTCCATAGACTCTCTAAAAGAAGTCACCAAAGGCTCCCTAAAGGAAATCTTCATAAACTCCCAAAAGGAGTCTCAATTAACTTCCAAAAAGTGGAAGTGTCCATACAATTGCAGAAACCCCAAAAGGAAGTCACCATAGATTCCCGAAAGGGATTGTCTAAAGACTCCCAAAATTGAGTCCCCAAAACAGAGTTTCCATAGATTCCAAAAAGTTAGTCTCCATAAATTAGTCTCCCAAAAGCGAAAACTCTCTAAATAAGTCTCCATAGACTATCAAATCAAAGTCTAAAACGGCTGCAACAGGTTGACCTCATAATCTCCCAAATTTAAATCTCCATGGAGTTCCAGAAAAAACTATATGTAGCTCTCAAAAATGAGTCTCCAGAGACTCCCCAAAGGGATTCTTCACAGTCTCCAAAAGGAAATCTTCATCAGGATTTTTCGTAGACTAAGGAGTTGTCTCCAAAGACATCCACAAAGGAGTTTACATATGAAGTTAGTCTCCATAAAAAAATCCAAAAAATCCGTGTCCACAGACTTTTAAAGGGGACTCCACATAGACTCCCAACAGGGAAGTCTTCATAGATAACCGAAAGGATGTCTCCATAAATATCAAAGAGAAATCTCCATAAGACTTCAACAGACAGTCTTCGTAGAATTGCAAAAGACACTGTCCATAAAATGCCAAAAAAAGAATCTCCATAGGGTCCCTAAAGTGAATTTCCGTAGACTTCCAAAACAGAGTCTCCAAAAACTTCCAAAAGGAATATCGATATACTCTGAAAAGGGAGTCCCAATAGAGTCCCTTCTAAGAGCCTATTAATACTTAATTCTAAGAGAATTGGTAGGCTTTGTTGGTCTGTAACAAGGCTGTGCAAGGAGAGTCCCATGGGATATCTCAACACAATTTTGAATTTCTTTTTTTTTGGAATATAAAGACTCCTCCCGACTGTTCCTATTTTATTATAAATAAACCATTTTGATTTCATCTCAAAACACCCACTTGGCTGCTTATAAAATCGCCTCCTAGGTCGGCTATATATGGATTCCCATCTGGGCCCTTCTGTACTGTTTTTATTGAATCTCAAATCGTTGTAGCAGCTCGGTTATAATGACTCTCTCTCTCCAATTCTGTAAATCCTGCCTGACTCATTCAGTTCATCTTTATATAGACTCACTGAGCTATTTAAGTCAAATCTAGCAGAATTTGAGACCCATTTAAATAATCTCTATATGGAATTAATTTGAACGGGCCCATTCCGCTCGTTTTTATATAAACACTCTGACCCATGTAGAAAGTCTATAGAGACTTTCTGATCCATGCAAATCTTCTAGTTCTATTCATCTTTTCTATGCAGACATTGCGACCTATTAATTCCATCTCTATAGAGACTTCTTGACTCTTTCATTTAAGAGTCCCCCAACCCATTCAGCCTGTATAGACTTTATATCCCATTCATCTCGTTTATCTTGGCATCGCGACCCCAAGTTGACCATCTCTCCAATTCGGCTTCCTTGTCCATTATATCCTCTATTAATGCTACCACCTCTTCAGTTCTTCCATGAATTCTTAAACTTGTTGAATGCTTAACATTATCTCTCATTACACCCTGAGCCATATGACTACACAGGGTAATAGCCGAAATAGCCGTTTTAGAACCTACGTCTCTTTGGACCAAATCCGAGTATCCAACTTTGCAAATTCTAATGTTTGCTTCAGTGCTTGGTCCTGGTGCTTGGGAAAACAAGTAAAAAAGTATCGGTCGGTTTTGCCGACAGATGACAGATGAAAATATTGACAATTGTGTCCCTTTGTGGGTGAGGTACCAGCAGGTGTTCGCAGATATATAGCATCTTCACAACATATCTGGTGTTAGGAAAAATGCTTTTATGTGTGAAATTTGAAGAGAGTTGGATCCTTATTTCGCTTTCTTTGAGCGTTATGTTTTTCAAAATTAGATTATTGCTTCCCTTTCTGTGCAGAAAATATATATTTGTGGGGGAGGTACCAGAAGAAGTGGACCGATATACTCCATATTTACAGCGGACCTTGGGCTAATAAAATGATTAGGATGTGTGAAATTTGAAGACAATCCGACTCTTACATCACATTTTATGAGAATTATAACTCTTCAAAATTTTGACCAATTGTGGGGAAGGTACTTGAAGGAGTGAACCAATGTTGTCCATATTCGCACCAGACCTAGCACTGATGCAAATATTACGACTTGCAAAGTTGGAGCAAAATCGGATCGTCGTTTCTCTTTCTGTGCAAAAAATATGTATTTTTTTGAAAATGTCCACCATTTATGGGGGAGGTACCAGAAGGAGTGGACGGATATATTCCATCTTAACACCAGAGCTTGGGTTAAAATAAATATTGGGATGGCCGACATTTGAAGACAATCGGACTCTTACATCACATTTTATGAGAGTTGTAACTGTTCAAAATTTTGACCATTTGTGGGGGAGGTACTTGAAGGAGTGAACCGATATTGTCCATTTTTACGCCTAATGTAGAACTGATGCAAATATTAGGATTTGCAAAGTTGGAGCAAAATCGGATTATCCTTTCTCTTTCTGTGCAAAAAATATATTTTTTGCAAATTTCGGCCTTTTGTGGGGGAGGTACCAGAAGGGGTGGACCGATATGGCTCATCTTAACACCAGACCTTGGGTTAACATAAATATTGGGATGTGTGAAATTTGAAGACAATCGGACTCGTACATCACTTTTTATGAGAGTTGTAACTCTTCAAAATTTTGACCATTTGTGGGGGAGGTACTTGATGGAGTGGACTGATATTGTCCATTTTCACACCTGACCGAGTACTGACGCAAATATTAGGATTTGCAAAGTTGGAACAAAATCGTGCGCACCAGCCAGACAGACAGACAGACAGACAGACGGACGGACGGACGGACATCGCTAGATCGACTCCAAATGTTCTGAAACGGATTTGGTCCAAAGAGACCTAGGGTCTAAAACCGTTATTTCGACTAGGCACATTTTGGCCATATCAAATGATATATACCCTCTGTAATCATATGGCTGAGGGTATAAAAAGGTTCAAAATTT